ATATAATATTACTTATTTGCTTAACAAATTTAAAAAAGAAAATATCCATATGCATGAATGGAGGAATTTTTGCGAAAAAGGGGAGTTTCAGCGAATTAGATTTATTTAAAAGTGTAATTTAATTAATTTGAAGTGAAAAATGTGAATAAATGTGTTCATTGTGGTGACATAACTTCTTGAAATGTTCGAATCTTGCGAATTTTTGAACTTTAASGTCGAATATCTAGTAAACTAAGCGATCTGTGTATTTATACCTTTCCAACGGTACCTTCAAATCGCTCCGCCAAAGAAATCGGAATTGTGCCTTAATTTAATTTTATTTTTGTGACTCAATATTGATTGCATACTCATGTAGTAAAATAAGAATGTAAAACTTTGCCCTTTCAACAAATTTGTACCTGAAATATTTGTTTTCAATTTTGTCCATAAATTTACATAATCATCTGGGTTGTTCGACCAAGGGATGGCATTCTTACAGTACATTTGAAATAAAATGTAAAACAATATAAATGCACAAATTAGAGAAGTGCGTTGGCTACTTAACATATTCTAATTGTTCAATAAACAATTTGTAAGCTATTAATATACATATTTAAAAATATTAAATAATAATTGTATTGTATAAAATTTTTCAATTGAAAATAAAATATCTCTTTATATAATTGTTATATTTTGCTTTTGAAATATTTTTTATAGTTTGAAAAATATTGGTGTAAGGTTGGCAATCATATTTTTCGTCCTTTGTGTATGTCCTTTGACGTTGAGAGAACATTATCTATGGGTAGAAGCAGGTCATTTATTTTTATAAGAGCATGCGTTTTCTATGATATGCGCAAATTATAATACATTATGTTTATAACTTCAAAAATATATTTACTTACTGTGTGGTTAAGGGATGAGTAGGGGTAATTCGTGTAAAACAAGACCAATATTTAAATTTTTTTGTTTAGAAACATAATAAAATTTTTTAAGTCAATGGCTTTTATGGTATGACATGTAGAAATGTTAAAAAATACGGCAATGACAGCAATTACTCTGAACTTTTAAACTTCTTGTTATGTTCTAGTTTCAAAAACTTCACCGAAAGATGTAGTCTTGGTCAAGTTAACTGCAACTTAAGTGGCAGATGTCTGCTAACCAGACATTTAGAAAACAGCGCTTAGAAAGAACATTCTTCAGAAGTAATGCTTTCTTTTAAGAAAAACAAAAATTCTAACAAAGCAGAAATTTAAATCCTTAACCCCCTTCAAATGTTCAGCATTTTAGTGCTTGTTTTGTAAAGCATTAGAATAAAATTCTTAACTCACTGAATGCAGTTTGTCCTAAAATAAAAGATTTAATGAAATTGTTTACAGATTCATTAAATTCATGATTCGGGGCTACTTGAAAAGCTATGATTTTGTCGCTAGAACTTCTAGGCTAGAAAGGACTTGGGAGCTATGGCTTTAAAAGCGCGTATTTGTTAATAATTTTACTGAAAACGTCACAAAAATCAATTCACCTACTATTTATTTTCTGCAGTTATTTACTGACCATTGAAAAATAAGTAAAAGGAGCAAAACATATTTGGTTTGCCATCCAATATACGAATGCTTACGCAAATCTACATACGTGGAAGTTGTGTAACGTGACTTTTGTACCTTCTCAACGTAAAGTATTTTTGCTCACCTCAGAAAGACTTGCTTTTGATGTAAATATGTACATACTTATGTATTCTTGAATGGTCCTTCATTTTTTTCACTTCTCAAATAAACGTCAATAATAAATAAGTGTTTTGAACGGATAGTAAATTATATCCGGCAAAATAAACAAATAGTCAAAAATATTTACTATTATACAAAGGGAGTGGCATCAAGTTGCAGTTTGTTGAAAAAATAAGCATCTTATTGTTAATTACCCGATTAAAGAGTCCTAGACTTAATGATTAGCTATAAACTAATGAAACATTCAAGTTTATTTTAACATATTTATTTATTATACGTAGATAATATAAACATATACATACGTATAATAAATAAATAATTATATATATGTATAAACAAACTGCAACTTGATGTCACTTTCTTGGTATACTAGTACTATTTATTG